GGTTCGACGAACGAGGAGGACGACGGCGTAGATTGGGAGTTGTATGGAGACGGTGAGCAGTAAGTAGTCGAATGGGACTTCGACTCTGGTAGGGGGGTAATGAAACATTTGTCTTTCCGTTCTATTCCTTGTACTACTAGCGCCCATACTGGCGCCTGTCTTAGCGCTCACCCGCAGGTTGAACATTATGTAGCTTACATAATGGGGTCCGTGCGCACTTCGTGCCTGGTATCGTACCACTACGTTTCTTTCTTCACTAACACGACCACATAGACACGATGGTCCGTGCGCAGTCGGTACTTGTATAAGTAGTTGTACCATTAGTTGGTCGAACCCTAAGTTCGACCTGGTTATTCATTCAAGTCTCTGCTCCTCTTCGCTTGGGGTAGTGGTCATTCTCGACTTCCTCGCTCGATCTTCAGGACGACGCACTGTCCATAAGTCCTCGCTCGTTGTCTACGAGTCAGGCATCAATATAGGAGTATAGACCGTTGTATCAACCCATATGTTTTCTGTTTGTTTGTTTCTGATCTGCACGCCACGCCACATTTGGCTTGGCGCGCATGCTGCCTTTCATGTAACAGAACACCCGCATTCCTGTTCCTCTGCCGCCGTCCCCTACAATATGTGCCGGTACCTTATGCCTTAGCTACTTATACGATATGTTCGTGACCTGCACCCTCAGTCTTGCACACATCCACTCGCGCACTGTACTGAGGGTGAGTACTTACATACCTTTATGATATTTGCCCTGTAGCTCATTGATACGGTTAGTTTATGTCCGTACACTACAGGTATGCATAGTCTTGCATGCACCCGCTCGCGCGCCGTACTGAGGTTTACGTCCGTACACTACAGGTGTAGGACAATGTTCGTGCGCTCGCTCTTACAGGTTATGAGCCCCGGGTGAAAGCCCTAAATTTTTGCAACACTCACCACACCGAAATCCCTTATCTGTCATCATGTCATCATCGCTAGCTGATTTCAATTCAGCCCTCGATAAGCTTGATTTGACCGGGAAGAACTGGCTCACCTTTCAGCAGCAGTTCCTCATTGCGGTCCGACAGAAGAAGGTGTGGTCGCATTTCAACGGCATGACCCCCACACCAGCTGCTGCAGATCCCGATAAACCTACAGCAGCTGAAGTCCTTGCTATCAGTCAGTGGCAGGAGAAGGAAGACCTTGCTCTTTACCTTCTTGTGCAGAAGCTCCCTGATGTGACGTTCACGAAGCATCGACACAAGGGCAATACAGCTGCAATCTGGGCTGCAATCATCCAGGAGTTCTCGCAGAAATCCCTCCTTCTTCGTGCAACCCTTCGTACCTAGTTCCTGAACATGCGAAGCACGTCCAGAGCGAACCTGCATGCCGAGTTCGATTGTGTCCGTTGATAGGCGCCAAGCCCCTCTGGGCCCCGATACAGCTCTTTTCGGCAGTCACATCCCGCCCGGCACTTCGGCTCAGTCACCCAACACTTCGATTTCGCCTTCGACACTCTTCGACATCTCCGATGGTGCGCGATGCTTGCTCGAAGCTCGGCGCGGTCGTCCCGATGCCTCGCGCGTAGATCTCGGGACATCTCCCGCATTCGGCGGTGATACGACCTACGAAACCCTAACCCCTAACCTGGGTGCGACCTAAAGGGACTAGAGAGACGGATTATAGTCTTAGTGAGAGGGGAGTCAGCAGCAAGGTGTCCCGCGGTTCGAGTGAACACGAGAAACGCCTTCGGAAAAGGCTACGAACGATGGGGAAGCTACGAGGTGGCTTCGACACGTCGTCGAAGCTACTTCGGAGGCTGTGGATGGTTAGTGGAGACGATCGAAGCTCGGCAGAGCTCTTCGATGAATCGTAGAAGAAAGAGACAATACGATAGGGGGGACTTAGCTAGTACGCGGTTCGCAGTTTCTTCGATAATAGTCGAAGTCGAAGGGTTCGTCGAGACGGTATCGACGAGTAAACGCAGTGGATGAGGTTTCGAGGTTACGCAGCGAGGGACGAAGTGACGCAGTTAAAGGCTTAGACGCGGGGCGAACTCGACTTATGAGCTCTGAACTCGAGGGGGGAACCGGATCTTCTATTTTTAGAGAGAAGTACGACAGGTTTTATACTACACAGGACGCTACGACTATTCGAGAGTGGCACACTGGTACAAGGGGCTTTGCATTGTTCCTCAAGAAGCTGCCTCACCGAGTGGCACGCATCAAGTCCATCGGTAGAGTGACATCATGCCGAACACGGAGATGAAGGGCAACATATGGCCACTTCGGACCGGTATCCGTCGTTGAAGGCATGCCGCGAGGTTCGATACCTAATCGGGAAAGACCGGCTACGTCGGTGTGGCTCGGAGCGATGCGCGCGCTTGGCCGAGCGGCGTCCAGTGGCCCTATTGTTCGCCGAATGCGGAAGATGTTCCGAGATCTACGCGTGAGGCATCGGGACGACCGTGCCGAGCTTCGAGTAAGCGTCGCGCACCGTCGAAGATGTCGAAGAGCGTCGAAGGCGAAATCGAACTGTTGGGAGACTGAGTCGAAGTGCCGGGCGGGATGCGACTGCCGAAAAGAGGTGTATCGGGGCCCAGAGGGGCTTGGCGCCTATCATCTCCTCCCTATTGAAATTTGGACCGCCCTCGGTCCTCCACGTGATGTGAGAAGCGCGATGGTCGTGAACGGATCGAAGCGGCATAACAACCCGTGTAGACTTCGAACGCCATGTGGCCGGCGCTAAACGCTGGTCGGAAAGGGGTTATAAGCAGGGTAGACTTAGCCTCATTTTCCCCATCCCATCGTTCCTTCATCGCTACCTCGTCGCCCCTCCTCGTATACTCGCTGCTCCTACGATGTCTTCTCGCTCCGCCACCCCTGCCTCGACGCCTTCGCTCGTCAACCGCCGCCTCGCCTCCTTGCTCGTGGTTCTCGAGGCTCCGCCGACCGCCGATGCCGCGCTCGACGTGGTCGAAGAGTGGGCGCAAGACTTGTCGCCCCTCGTCGTAAGTCGCTTCGTAATCTGCACAACACAGCTAACCCTTTGTTTTCGAACAGCTCGCCTATCGCAAGGCCCTGGGCGCCATCCGCGACGAGGAGACGGAGCTGCGCGTCGCCGCCGCCGTCAAACAGCTCGCCGAGCGGGCGTCGGAGTCGTGGGTCGAGTGGGCGCGCGGGGACTGGCCCGAGCTCGCGACCGCCATCGACGCCGAGGTCGAACGATGCGTCGAAGAGCAGAAGCGCCTCGCCGAAGAGGAAGCACGACGCGTCGAAGAGGCTGCGAAGCGTGCGAAGGCCGCCGAGGACCGTCGCCTCGAAGACGAACATCGCCGAAAGGACGAAGAGGACCGTCGCAGGCAAGCCGAAGACGAGCATCGCGCACAAGAGGCCGCCGACGAGGAGTTGGCGAGGATCGCGGCCGCCGAGGGACTTCTCCCTGACCCCGCGCCTGCCGGTGTCAACAAGGGGAAAGGGCGCGCGAGGGTCGATGATGAGGTCACTGAGTTGTCGGATGACCCTTCGGTCGTAAGTCTTCTTTTCTCTATCGTTGTTCGATGACTAATCTCTCTTTCGTAGAAGACTCCTCGGACGGTCGAACGCCCGTTCGCGATGACGGAGGTCGACATGGCTGCCGCGGCGATTGTGAAGCGCCAGGCTGGACAGAAGGTACGTTCGACCCTTCGTCGAAGCGGTTCGATGCTAACTTTTCGATAGTGTGATCGTTGCGCCGGCTACCGCTCGGCCCCGGTCGAGTGCGTGTGGGTCGAGAACGCCACGACCTGCGAGAGGTGCGTGCAGTTCCAGCAGGGATGCTACTTCGACAAGGTTTCTGTGCTTGGGAAGACAAAGAAAACGCGCGGCGGGGGATCAACCACAAAGAAGCGCAGTAAGTTGTTTCTTCTTCTTGTCCTAGGCTTTCGCTGACGACTTAGTAGTTCGGCCGACCTCTCCTGGGCCTTCGGTCGCGGACTCGAGTGGTTCGAAGAAGCACCGAGTCGACGAGCCTCCGCATCCCCTGTTACGACTGCCTCTCGATGGGGCCAGCCGCCTTGGCCTCGAACAGGACGACCTCGACGCGCTTGACCTGGACGACGAGTCTCGGGGGATCATTCGCGTCATCCGCGAGGAGCGCGCTCACATCGCTCGCCGTCGAGCGCTCCTCCACGACATGGACCTCGACCTCCAGAAGATGGAGAAGGCCGCGCTCGCGAAGGGAGGAATCGGGTTCGTGCGTGGGGCTGTCGACGATGACTAGGCGATGGCGCGAGTCCTTTTGTATCGTAGTTGTAATCATGTCGTAGAATATTGCGTTGATAGTCAAATGGAAAATGTGGCCCTTGGCCTAGACGAAACCTGGCGGGAACTAAGAGAAAAGGAAATGAAAATAAGCGTGTTCGAAGTAAGTCGTAATATGATCGAAGGACATAGAAGGTGAAATAGAAATGTTCGTAGCGAGGGAAAATGGACTTAATGAAAATATAGGCTCAGTTTGTCATCACAGCCTAGGAGGACTCGTCTAAGGTGAGCCTTCGCGCAACAGTCGAATCGAAGCGTTCGTAGAACGTCGAATGATATCGCGACTATCGAGTTGAATCGAAGATATTCGTACAAGGGAAGGTCTAGAACATAGGAGAAAATCAAGCATATCGCGTAACGTGAGAGCAGGAATGGAGAGAAGAAAGTACGTATCGTGTTGTACAAGTAATACAAGGGAAGAACCTCTATTTGTCGCGTTCTTCGGCTTCTTCGACTTCTTCATCGTCGTCGTCGCCTAGAGAATTCGATAGTTCGAGTTCTCGAAGACGCTTGGTCGAGACATCTTCGAGATCTTCGGGGATTGGAATGGATTTGCGCGCGAAGTACGGAATGACGCGGAAAGCTGCGATGGGTCGATCGAGGACTGTACCGTCGAGTTCGCACACGATGTACGCGCCGCCCTTGTTGCGCGAGACAACGATGAGGGGGCCTAGGTATCGCGGGTGCATCTTGCGGTTGAGGGACTTCTCGATCTTCGTGTTGCGTATGAGCACTAGGGCTCCGCGTTTGAAGTCGAAATCCTGGATTGAATGCTCGTGCTCTTTCTCGAAGCGAATTGCTGCAGTTCGACGTGCTTCGTAGACCTTCGAGTGGAGTTCGGTGACTTGCTCGACGCGTTTCTGGAGCGCAATGGCTCTTCGGGCGATGAGATCGGTCGT